CCGACCAGTGAATGGCTAACTCCAAAGTGATTTGGTTATAAATTGGTTACTTCATAGCTTTTAGGAGTCTGTTTGTTGTCGATGTTCATCACTTTCGAATGAAGTTGCCTGGCTGATAATGGATCTTCGTACTTGGCTCCTCTTTTCATTGGAATCCCAGCAGGATGGTAATTGTGACCAGCACACAGCTGCCTGCCAAAACCAAACTCTCTACTTGCTATATGAACTGAAGGAGGCTTACTTCTCCGTAAAAGACATATTTGTCTTATAACATTATCAAGGTTATGTGCAGTGATTTAGAAGTTGACATTTTTCTCCTACTTCGAATCTCGCTAAGGGAATTAATGGGACAGCAGGATGAGGTGGAAACTGCAAGCAAGCCTTAAACTAGGGTACATTCGCTATCATTTGCCCTTTTTTAGCTATTAACCAGCAAATACTATTTCTTACAATCACATGCTTAATGACTTAAATTAAGAGTAATGTACAGCAAAATTCAATAAAAAAAGTTAGCAGGGTTATTCCCATCTCATTTTATTATGGAGATTGACGATGGGATTTACGACATTACTCTCTTAGTTGTATCTCCATGCCTTTTGTTGATAAAGTTTATTTTTCGTATATAATTAGGTTTTCGAGATAACCATGGATCATATATATGAGATGTATTCACTCTATTTTATTTATGGTGATAAGGGAACTATAGTTGAATTTTCCCACAATCAGATAAGTATCCCTTAAGTTTCCATTGAATTTAACATAGCATTGCTTCTCAGAAAGATATTCTTATCCAAGCTAGACTGCAGTTTCGACCTCGACTGAGTCTCATCAGCCCTCCCAGTGGGATTTAATAAAGAGTCGTGAGTATCATGGCGATGCTAACACTTCAGAACAATTTAATCCAGCCCAGTTTGGTGAAAATGAATGTGAAGCCTACAACTTTCTTTCCTACATCGTTTTAAGTGACCCTACGCTTACAGAGTGTATTCTTACGGGGTAAACAGTGGTCCGCACACGAGTTACGAAGGACTCAAATTTACCTCTTACCTATTTTTTCGAAATATTTATCATTTTATATGATTAAAAGCAGATTTTTTGTATTGATATTGGTTTCACATGTAGGTGGGCGACAACCAGGCCCTGTTGTCTTCCCTACAGGATACGCCTTTTTTTGACGTGTTCGCCGATCGTGCGACCAGCTGGTCTCTGCGCCTTGGCGAATTGGATCAAATATTGTGCGCATTCCAGGCCGTACAGCGGCGATGGGTTTACTTGGAGCCGATCTTCGAACGTGGAGCTCTGCCACGCGAGGCGGTACGCTTCGCACGGGTCGATACGGCCTTCCGCACCCTCCTGTCCAGGGTTCATGCTGACCCCCGTGTGGTCAGTCTGGCCCCGACTACAGTTGCCACAGGTCCGTCCAGTGGCATGACTGCCCGGACTGGCTTGAGATCGGGCGCTGGGGGACTGCGGGAACAGTTGGCCGATATGCAGGTGAGACCATCGTATTGGGCATTTCTTAACCGATCAGTAATACAACCGTAAAATTGGCTCTACGCGTCAGTACACCAATAGTAACTAGGTGTCAATGGATCTTCTAAAATTCTTATAATAGAATCAAACGATAACAGAACAACCAGAATTAGCTGTTGTCTTCTGGTAAGATGGACCTAAGAATCTTTTTATAAGACACACTCATACAAAACGAAATGCACCACGACAATGTTGTGCATGGGTGGCCAGTAGTCTTATCCTTTAAAATTCATGGAGGTGAATGAACCCAACCATACAATGTATGAAGAACAGGATGGCATGACCCTCGGTATGGTCTCCTTTCGATGCATAGAAGCGGTATGACCTCGTTTTCACAACTTTGTCTTGTCGTCAGGGCGACTTAGTTGGACACACCTTGTCAGAAATTTTCTGCTGTAGTAGTTATTGTAATTCCCCGAATCAGACCGTGGACTTGGTACATTCTCAGACGTTTCCTTGACATCGTAGTTGGCATCGCCAGTAAGCCTTGCCATTCTCAGCACCAAATTACAACTTGCTAAGGAGGCAACTGAAGTCAATCCCTTGACCAGCTTTCTACCGAAACGGTTGTGCTATCACTCCTATTTGTTTTTGCCCCTCTATCTACTCCCTACCCTCTTGTCTCACTCTCGCCCTATCACAACTTCTGACTTGTTTATATTCCACTCCTCAAGAGATGTGCCTCTTGTCTCAACCCACTTCCAACCATATAAGCTTTAGCCCTTTTGGCTTTTTAAAGCCCTGAGTATTGAGCGCAAAGGAGACAGAGGTCATATTGAGCGCATGTCTTGATTAGTGTTGATAACGTTGGATCTTTTCTTGGATAAAGCCTTTTCTGCATGATTCGACAATTGGAATCGAGCCTAACTTGCATATCAACGGGGCCCATAGCAACGATAGCTATCTCCACGATAGGTATTTACCCAATTTTGTTAAGGTGATTAAGGATTGATAGTTGAAATTTATCATAATGATACGAGTAGACCTTACGTTTCCAGTGAATTTCACATTTCCTTGCGTCCTAAAATGTATTCTCATCCAGAGTCAATTGGACTGTCATTTCGACCTGTCCTTGGTGTTCTCAGTACTTCAGTAGGAATAGAACTGTGATAGAGTAGCGTATAATCTCGACACAACCACTACGCTCCACTTTTACGGTTCAGGTCCCGCTGGGGGTGCTGAGGAGATCAAGGCCAGTTCAA